GTTGAAGTCCACGCATCTTCAAGTCGCCAAGGTTGAGGAACCGTGCTGTAAGTTGCCTGACCATTTTAGCTGGACAGAAATGAGCTAGAAGAGCAAGCCAGGTTGTGTCTTGTATTGGATTCTAAACCCAGAACACTAAATATACACAAAGATGGAGGAATATTGAAATAACCACCATGGAGGAACGGGTTGTAAAGATGGTTAGAGTTAGCCGAGGTGGCAAAACTGACCTGTTTGGTCAGGGCTAAAACCATACGTAGTTTTATAAAAGACTGGAAACCTTTGGTGGACTTTTGCTGGAAGAAGGGAAATGGTGATTTCTGGTTTAGGTGACAGAAGGTAGTATTGTAATGTGAAGGAGGGAGGCGGGATAATGAGTTTGTTTGCTGTAAAGAAGGGCAGAAGTCACTTCTTTAATTATCTTTTTTTTCCTTTAACCGTATTGTTTTCTGCACTTTTTCTTTTCTCTTTTTCTCTTTTCTCTCTTTGTCCTTGATACCTTTCTGTATTTGTTTTCTATTTATGTAAGAACTCTTAATAAAAATTATATTTTAAAAAATGAATCTGGAAAACTCACCCCAACATGTTCTTGTTATTTAGCATGCTTCATCCACCTTTGGTTTGGGGATTTGAATAATTGGTTGCAGGATTGTCAGGGCAAGAACTAACACAGGGCAAAACCTCCCTACCTTTTCTTCTCTTATTTCTGACCTTGTAGGAGGCGGTTCCTTTTATTTGCAGTCATGAGGACTAGACCCCTGCTTGCAGTTGTTTGGTCCTCCAAGTAAAAGAGTTGGAAAGAAAGAGTGGCTGATAAGTCAAGCCTCTCCACTACAGAGCTCACTGCCAAGGGTTCAGTGCAAATCACAGCTCTGCAGACACTGACCCCCTAATTCTGAACTTGGCTTGGCTTGGCTCGGCTCAGCAGAAGCATCTCAGATGCAACTTGGCTGGATTAAAATCTTTATTGCAGACCAGAATGAAGCTGTTCAGAAGAGATGTCTCCCCCTCTGTGCTCCACAGAAGCCTGTGTGTGTGTGTGTACACACGTGGATATGTATGTATGTGTATATACATGGATATGTATGTATGTACACATACATGCATATCCATTCCAGAGTGTAAATTCTTGGTTTTCTCCTCCCACTCTTCCAACTTAACAGATATTTGGCAGTTCTCTTGGTGTTCTTGTTGGCTGAAAAATCTTTGGGTAATGCTCCTGTCTCGCCCAAGAGCCTCTGGTTTCCTCCTCCTCTTTCCACAAGCTGTTTTTGACTGCAGCCCTTAAGCCGTGCCTAAAGCTGTCTTCCTGGCTGGTGGGGAAATCGAATACTGTCCTGTAGTAAAGGCTCTTGGAACACCCAAGCATTTCCAGGAGAAAGTAGATGGAGACTCCGTATTCCTGCAGCGGCAGTTTTTGACTCAAACAAAATGCTTCAATGTTGCCTGGGCCTCCAGTAAGGATATTTATCCAGGTTAGTTGCTGACTAAGTTAAGCATATTGGGTGAGGGAGACTTGAGATTTAGCTTGGACGTTCAGAGTGTTGCAGATGCAATGAAGTCTGGAGCAAGTTCTCCAACTCCTGCAGCAGATTGAAATTTGGAACGATTAGAACGTTTTTCTGTCTCATCTAAAAGCCCGGATACATTTCTCCTCTTTTTTTTTTTGTTTCATTCCACATGACTCTTAAAAGATATAATTAGATCCTCAAGGTTTCAACTG